TCCCTTTCCGTGGTTCCCCCCGAGAACGAGCCCTCCGTACGGACCCCCCCGGGCCACGCAGGGCGCAGTTGGGCGCAGCACGTCTTGAGGTGGGGGGGGGGAGGTGATGGGAAACCTGGGGAGAACATGCACGCTCCCCTCAGACAGGCGCCCCAGAGCTGGAATCGCGCCTCGCCGCCGCGCCTCCCAGAGAGGAGAACATCCGTCCCGTTTTCCTGTTTTGAACGGGGGCTCCGGGAGTCGGATCCTCCCTCCTGGTCCTGGACGGGCCTCCGTGGGACAGCGTAGTCCCAGACACCCATGATTCTTTGCGTGCCTCCTGTGTCTCTGGAGTAGATATTGGCTAAATCTTTGTAAACAACCGTTTGTGGTCTTGCACACTCCCTGCCTTGAACGCCGCGTGTTTAAATGTTGTCTTCCTCCTCCCCCCTCCCTCTGGTGTGGCCTCAGTCCTCCGACAGCGTGGACACGCCCCTCCCAGCAGCACTCCTGAAGCCAGCGGTGACCGCGCCCTCGCAGGCCCCGCCCCCCGGTGCGGCCACGCCCACGGCCACGCCCCCCGGCAGCAAGGCCCTGGAGGAGCTGGAGCAGCTGGGCAAGAGCCTGATGCAGAAATCTCTGCCCCCGGAGAACCTGCAGGTCAAATGGTAAAGGCCCTCCGCACGGCACACCCCTGGCTGTCGCGCAGCCCTGCCGGACAGAGGGCCGGCGAGCTCGCTTTGTCACCCTACGGGGTGGTCCGGCGGGGTGAGAATACCCTCTGGGGGCGTACACAGGGCACCGAACCGCGATGCTGCCTCACTGCTGCACACACGCAAGCACCACAAGTTAATACAGCATGGATATCAACACAGCCGGTACTGCAGTCCGCTGGGCACTGGCTGCAGTTCTGGGGAGATTGAAGAGCCTGGTGGAGCCGTGCAGCACAGAGCAGTTCAGAGCCCTTGTTCACTGCGTGGCGTGGACACACGGGGGGCCTGAGGCTGGACCGTAGTGACGGCTCTTCTTCCGGAGGCTGTGCTGCAGTGGGACGGCGGTGGTGACTGGTCTCTCTCTCTGGCTGTTCCAGGGACAAGCAGCAGTCTCTGCCCAAGCCCACACTGCGGGACCTGCAGCACAAGGCCCAGCCCGGATCCAGCCCGGTTCTGCCGCCAGCCTTCCCCTCCGAGCTGCCTGCGCATCTCCTCGGCCCCCATCCCAGCATGGGGGCTCCTGCGGCGGGGCAGGGCGCCCCCCTGCAGCCTGACATCTCCCTGGCCAACGTCACTGTGCCCCTGGAGTCCATCAAGCCCAGTGAGTGAC